ATTTCAAAAACCATTTTCAACCGACATCGTATGCTAATAAAAGACTTTCAAAAGCCATTTTTCAAGCGACATCTTGAATTAAAAAGCTTGAATCGCTGAGCGAACCAGTGAAAAAACCATTCAAATGATATATTTTACATAACCAAAAGCATTTCCAAAAAAGATCTGAAGTTGATTGAAACAGCTTGATCCGGATACCGAAAAAAAAAATTGTCACAAAACTATTCGAAGGAAAAAAGATTACAAGTTCTTTTGATAGCTTCAAGCGGTTCGAAAAATGAAAGTGTTCAGAAAAGGCAACAACAGTTTGATTTCCCAGCTTTGTCCTTGTTAGCAAAAAATTCTCAACGCTTAAAAACTCTTAACAAAAACAATTTGTTCGCAACTTTTCAATCACACCATTTAAAGGATGAAACTTTGAAATAATTCATTCATGAAATTGATCCATTTAAAAGTTTTCAAGTTGTTCTGAGGCTAGCAGATATTAACTTCTGCAAACACGGTTTTCAAATACAAAAAGTTTGAGATGTTATCTTTCAACACGAGGGTCATGCGTTCGAAGCTAACTCCAGATAATACTCGAAAAGGTTGAGTATACGCAAAAATTTTCGGTGTTTTCGAGCTAGCTATTTGGATAATAAAACAGTGAAAATCGATGTTCCCGGGCAAGTAAAAGAAGGTTCTACCGTTGTGCCTCGCAATATTTTTGAAAACAAAATTAACCTAAACAGTATAGTATATTGATTCATAGATTACAAAACGAAGTCTTTCAAAAGCTATTCAAAAGATATTGGTTTGCAGGCTATCCAAAAAATCCGAGTCTTAAAATTTCACATTGATTTTGATAGCTTGAATAACGGCGCAAATTACTGAAAAAAATCCAAATAAGTTATGAGGGTATTATCTAGACAGTGAAATTTATTGTAAATTAGGTGAAGTTAATTCAAGCTTGTTTATGTGATTTGTTGACTGCCTAAATGGGTCCTAGGAAATTAGACGAAAAACAAACTAGACAGGACCAAAAAAACTGAACTAAGACGTCGATGCAAAACTAAAAATATGGGAAGTTAGACTTAATTGTATTGTTAACGTATATGAAATTTGTTAACTAACTATAATAAAATTTCGCTGACTACAATGTACTTTCACTGTCGGATTAACGTTTTATAAATTTTGAATTAAAAAAACAGTTTTTAAAAAAATTTCAAATTTCACTTTCAAATTTCAAAGAAAAACATAGCCAGCAGACAGTTGGAAAAGAGTAATGAACGAAAGAAAACTGAGAAAAAACTGACTTGTTTTCTCAAAAACTTTCAACTTCGATTTCCGAAGAAAAAAATAGATAGTTTTAAAGCTCTTTTAAATTGTAGAACAATTTTTTTGTTAAAATTAACCCAATCTGATAATTAATTTCTATTTTCGAAATGAGAAGTTGATCACGTTTTTCGTGACCTTTACACTTTTGTGTTCGATAGTGGAGTTTGCCTTCCCTCCTTTTAACAATCGAAATGCACTGAACTTGAAAAAAAATCACAAGTCAAACCGCGAAAAATTAAAATTGAGCGTAAGCAAACTTTAAGAATGTTTCCTGAAAAAAAGCAGCAAGACCTATCTAAGAGTACTCATTACGTTTATTACACTTAAAAATAGATGCCCTTTAAGCTCTTTGAATTTCTGCGATTTATGATTTTCGCTTTTTTGATAACATTAACCCAATTTGAAAAAACTGGATCAAAAGGTTAAGCTTAACGTTAATTAAATTCCACTTTCGAAACTAGAAACTGTTCACGTTTTTCTGCGCAATTTTCACGTTCGTATTTGGAAAGTGCTATTTAAGTCACTTTCATCAGATGAATTTCAATTGAACTCAAAAAGTTCATATATACATAAATGCATCAAGGTTAAACTTACTGATAATTAAATTCCACTTGCAAAACTAGAAATTGTTCACGTTTTTCCGCGCCATTTCCACGTTCGTATTTGGAAACTACTATTAAATTCACTTTCAGCAGATGAATTTCAATTGAACTCACAAAGTTCGTATATACATAAAGGCATCAATATTTTAAGAATTTTTCATGAAAAAACTAAAAAGAAACCTATATAAGAGTCTTAACTAAGTTCATTGCTCTTAGTAAGCAAAGAGACTATATGCTATTTTTGTAATTGTGAAACTTGTTTCAAGCAATAAGGTTTGTTAGCCCTTTGCTTTTCGTCCAAAATGCTAGTTTACACAATTGACGTCTATATTCCAATTTATTGAAGCTGTTTAATTTGCTTGTCGTCTAATTTTCTAACCCCTGCCTAAATATATAAAATTCTGCCAAATTGCGTTCACTTTCTTCATTAACCTTCAAATGGCGCTCTCTTTTGTTTCAATCTGAACTAAATTTTCAATTAAATGAGAAGTACGAGTGAAACAAAAGAGAACGCCATTTGACGGTTAATGAAGAAAGTGAACGCAATTTGGCAGAAAATTGTATATTTAGGCTGGGGTTAGGAAATTAGACGACACGCAAATAAAACAGCTTCAATAAATTGGAATATAGACGTCAATTGTGTAAACTAGAATTTTGGACGAAAAGCAATGAGCTAACAAACCTTATTGCTTGAAACAAATTTCATTTCATTGAAAACTAGCGTTTAACGCACCTCCGGTGCTTCGAATTTTTTCGACAACTCATGAAAACCGCATATATTGGAAACAACATCTGCAAACTTTTAGTGAACTCTGACTGCACCAAATTACATGGTTGATAATTTCGAACTTTTTATTTTTTTTAAAATCCCATTTTAAAAGCGTCATCTCGAAAACTTAATGGGCCTCTGGAGAAATTTGGAGGCCAGATTTGCAACCAGTGAGAGTCCCTGAGAGCACCCTACTGTAGGAAGTCAAAATTTTTTGAATTTTTTTAAGACTAAGTTTACCGAAAAAAAAAAATTAAAAAAAAACGTGTTTTCTCGGAAACTACAAGAATTTGAACAGTCATATTTGGAGGCAAGATTTGTAACTCCTTAGAGTACTCTGACAGCACCTAACTACAGGGTTGGAATTTCAGATTTTTAAAAAATCATAAAAATTTAAGTTTTGTGAAAATTTTTGAAAAAATCACAAAAGACGTCATATCTCGAAAACTACAAGGATTTGAACAATCATATTTGGAGGCAAGATTTGTTACTCCTTAGAATACTCTGACACTACCCAAGTACAGGATTGGGAATTTCAAAAAAATCACAAAAAAAACGTCGTATCTCGAAAAATACAAAAAAAAATGAGCAGTCATACTTGGAGGCAAAATTCGCAATCTTTGAGAGTACTCTGACAGGATCCAACTACAGGGTTAGGAATTACAGATTTAGCGAAAAAAAATTATTTTAATTTTTCTGAAAATGTTTTGAAAAAATCACAAAAAACGTCATATCTCGAAAACTACAAGGATTTGAGTAGTCATATTTGGAGACAAAACTCGCACTCCTTGATAGTACTCTGACAGCAACTAACTACAGGGTTGGGAACTTCAAGTTTTGTAAATTATTTTGTATTTGAAAAATACAAAAAAATGAGCAGTCATACTTGGAGGCAAAATTCGCAATCTTTGAGAGTACTCTGACAGGACCCAACTACAGGGTTGGGAATTTCAGATTTAGCGAAGAAAAATTAATTTAATTTTTCTGAAAACGTTTTGAAAAAATCACAAAAAACGTCATATCTCGAAAACTACATGGATTTGAGCAGTCATATTTGGAGGCAAGACTCGCAATCCTTGATAGTACTCTGACAGTACCCAACTACAGGGCTGCGAATATTAGATTTTTGAAAATAATAATAATTTAAGTTTTCTGAAAAATTTTGAAAAAAAATCAAAAAACGTCATATCTCGAAAACTACATGGATTTGAGCAGTCATATTTGGAGACAAGACTCGCAATCCTTGATAGTACTCTGACAGCAACCAACTACAGGGTTGGGAACTTCAAGTTTTGTAAATTATTTTGTATTTGAAACTTCTCGCAACCCCTAATTCGATATTCGATTTAAATATATAATAGATAGATTGAGTTCAGTGTCTAGAGCAGACCCGTCTGATTGTCATTCACTTAGGCTAAAATTAGTTTGACATTTTCAGGCAAATTGCATAAACACGACCTATGCAAGGGTCGTCACACTTCAAAAAGTAAGGCGTCTCCGCTCCAAAAACGGACATTAAAACATACCAGAAGGAATTGAATAAACCTTTTTTTTCGGGACTATTGTCTCTAACTAAACGCATGCGTTGGTAAAATTCTCAAGTAACCGTTGCCCATAATTCGCGTATTCTTTTCATTTTTATAATATAATGGGCGTGGTGATGTTTGTGGTTCTTGTCTGACCAAAAAACAAATCATAACTTAAAACGGGGGAAGATTGCATACTTGATCCAACAATAATACAAGACAACGATAGGGATTTCTCTCTGCATCAAATTCAACAGGCTGGCGAGTTTTCAAGTACCAGATGCGGAACAATAGCTCTAGCAAAACTAACCACAACGCGTGCAAACCTATCAACCAATAAGGAATCTGCAAAAAAAGAAAAGAGCATTCCTTAATGTTCCTATTGAATATCTGACGGTCATAAGTTTAATGTGGGCGCTTTTCCTCAATTTTAGAAACTCTTAAAGAAATTCTGCGCAGAATGGAAAAGATATGAAATCATATTAAAGCCCTTCTTGCTAATGTTCAAATTACTTTTATCATTGAATTATTCCATGATATCGAGAAAATCATGCCATACAGTTTTCAATCAAAAATTGTTGTTCAAAAAAGCTGGCAATGTCGTTACTAACGTTAGGTAGGTTATAAGGCAAAACTACAAAGGGAAATTTGCCCTAAGACAGAACATCAAATGAAGTACATGCCAAAATCAAGATCACACGAAAATTTGTAGGGCAACCAACTTCATCTCACCTTTCGATTCGTTACTTTCTTTTTCTTTGAGCAATCAGGCAAAAACAATTATATTTTATCAAGGCATCATTCTTGTCAGTATATTTCAGCCATATAATTTCGCAGGAAAGAGAAAAAAATTGCATTTAGCATTAATAAATAACTGAACTATAATGAGTCTTATTCAATTTTCAAAATCAAAATTTCAAGACAAAGTATTGTCCCTCCATCATTTTCATCGCATCACAACAATGAATCTTCAAACTAAGTCAACAATTAACGTGTCATGACATCAGACAGAATCGCCAACAAGACAGAATTGCCTATCTGATTTTTTGATTACACTATTCTGGAGACAGTGTCATATGCGAACCATGGAAGCTAATGAGAGAAGGAGGTAGTTGGTTGTATTTTAGCGCTAATATCAGTTCCCGTAAATCAGAATCGCGTAACATCAAAGGATATGCAAGTAAAACCGCGATGACGTCACGAGAATAGAGGTAGTTTCTGGTGTGTTCTGACAAATAGACGAAGGAGGAAAAGGGAGTGGTCGACAGCTGCCTCTGCATTGTCCAGTTTGTAGAGTCTCGCCGCAAACTGTTCTAACTGTTCTCTGTCCTTCAAACCCATCCAACTATCTGCTACTTCTTCAATCTCCTCCTCTGAAGAGCCCTTAAAACACAGTTTTAGGTGTTCATCATACAGTTTTTCATCTTTTTCATTCGCGATTCTTCACACTCAATTGATACACAGAGGCGCAATTTAAGTTCTTTAAGGCCAATACTTAAATCTAGCTTATATTTCGTCAAAGTAAATTGCTAACAAAACAAATTCCAAAAAGAGGTAGCGACTTGAAAAAGAAAGATAACGAAATCAGTTGATCTGCTCGAGGTCTGCCATTGAAAATTAGTTGTTAAGAACAATCATAAGAATAATAATACTAATAATAATAATAATAATCAACGCTACTGGGAAAAACTGAATGGGAAAAACTTTGAGTCTACAAAATTTCATACGCCAATTATGAGTCTACATAATTGCTAGGAGACGCAAGCCGATTATGACCCATTAGCAGTACCAGTCAAGTATTCTGACACAATAGCAGTGCTATTTGTAATATAATAGTCTGCGTTAATATCCTTAACATTGGCTGTACTTAATCGCTGGTTATTGACCTTATGCATATACTGCAATAAAAGAGCACTTTCAAAACGAGCACTAATATTTGCGACTTAGGTTGGAAAAAAAGAGAGTTCGTAATATCACACAAGCTTTGCTTGTGTAATAATAGTAATGATAATAATCATAATCGCAATCATAATAATAATCATAATAATCATAAAAATAAAAAAATAATATTAATCATAATCATAATAACAATAACAGCTGAAAAAGAGTCAATAATAACAATAACAGCTGAAAAAGAGTCATGATACCAGGAAACAAAAAATAATTACTTGTTTTAAATTGAATCACTTGTTTTAAGACAAAGATTGGATCTACTTAACAATCGCCCCCCCCCCTTTGGTATCTACTAAATTAGCACTAGAGCTTTGCATTGAGAATTATAATTTTGCTACCACCTGATTAGTCAAAAATGCGTTATTTTAATCTACTTAACAATTGCCTGCCTTTAAGGGGGACAATTTTTAAGTAGATCCCAAAGTCTAAGTTCAATGGTAGACCTCAAGCAGATCAACTGATTTCGTCATCTTCCTATTTCAAGTCCCTACCTTTTTTCGAATTTGTATTGTTATCAATTTACTTTGACGTGATTGCATTTCTTTTGCCCTGTTCTGTGAACGAAATATCAGCCAGATTTGAGTATTGGTCTAGCAGAAGCTAAATTGGGCTTCTGTCTAAGAATTGAGTAAAAAAAGATTGGGTGTCAAGGATCGCGAGTTCTTTGAGTGAGAATATGCGTGGGGATCCTTCTTCAAATTTCAAGGACAATGTAGGATGTTCACTTTTTTTGATAAATTAACCCAATTTGAAAAAACTGGATCAATAGATGAACTTTTTGTTCCGCTGGGAAATTCATAGTTAAATTCCACTTTCGAGACTAGAAGTCAATCACGTTTTCGTGACCTTTACACTTTTGCTGTTCTATAAAGGAGTTTGCTTTCATTGTAACAAACGAAACGAACTCAAAAGTCAAACCAAAAGTCAAACCACGAAAAATCAAATTTGCGGGAATAAACCTTCGTTCATGACTCTTAGTTAAAAAACACGAACGCGATTCGACCCCTCTTCATCGGCGCTCCTGTCAAGCTTCTCATCCTTTTTCTACGACCCTGCTTCCCTTGCTTTTAGGGTTTCTGCTTCTTCCCATAGACACAAATGATCACATGTAAGTACAAAAAGAACAAATTCATCGCTAAGTCATTTCGGGAGTTCTTAATTATAATTATCAACCTAGGAACGACTCATCGCAACTAATTACAAACAACATAATTGTGGCAATTTCTGCAAAAGATAACCGTGTTCATGAAACGCGAAATGGATTAATAGTTTAATGTTTGTGCATATCCAATTAACATGCAAAAAAGGAACAACTTACCAAAAAAGGATCGCCAAATAACCAATTAAACTGGGTGCATTTCAAAAAACTTGAAAATTCCAGCAACAAACCGCAAAATGCATAAAAAACGAACAAATTTCTTTAAAAAATCATCACGGATGATGAAAACATCCAATCTGGTTCCGTTTTTAAGAAATTATTCGTTTTTATTGTTCGGTTTGTTGCTGGGATTTTCAGGATTTTTATCATCCGTGAAGTTTTCGTGTACAAACAGTTTTCGTGTACAAAAATAAAGAAGAAGTAACGCCAGTTGCTGTGTTGTCAGAAGCAGGGAAGGTTCCCGCCTCAAAAAAACTGGCAATCTGCTATAATTTTCCACGAAAACTGAAAAGAAAGTTTGAAAAATGCCGAGGAATTGAAGTTTCAAAAACAAATAATCCTAAAACAAATTTTTCGCCGCTAAACAAATCTAACTCTCCTCTTGTTCTGAATTTGCGAGGATACCTGAATTTCTGTGAAAAAATGGTATATAAACCGTACACCTGAAGACAACGTTGTTCCCCATCTTAAAGTCGCAAATGCAGGGGGAATACTAAACAGTTCAGTTTAAAAAAAGGATTGCAAATTAAACGGTGGTACAATTGAACTGGTAAATGAAAAATAAGATACTTAAGGCAAAGTCTTGTTCGACAAAAGAAGAAAACTCCACAACCACAATTATCAGAACCAGTTCCGTAGGTGCTATCATTAACACCGTAGGTGCAAAGCAAACTAAATGGAAGCTTCAAAAACTAAAAAAAGAAACAGTTTGGTAGTTATCAACGCCGTGCATAAGTTAATCACAGTTAATAAGAAACAAAATCATTAATTGCAATTGTCAATAAAAAGCATTGGAAATCTACTCAAGTCAAGTTAAAAAATGGTGAAACATTTGAAAACATTCTTAACACATCACAAATGATGTTGTAGATTTTTTTGTTGATGTTTCAAGATTGTTTTCAAAGGTTTCACCAATTTTTAAAATGACTTGAGTAGGTTTCCAATGCTTTTTTTACACTTGCGATTTATTTGTTGGAAATTGTTGCTTTAGCTTAATAGTGATGCTTTAGCTTAATAGTGTTACTTTAGCTTAATAGTGATGAATCATGCACCGCTTTGACTGTAATGATAACAGGTTCCGAAATGAATCTGATGATTTTTAGTTTTTTCTTAGCATTTTAGAGTTATTGATTTTTATCACTGTCCTCTGGAATGGCTTAAGTACGAGGTATTTGATCTGATTGTTAGTTACTGTGCTGAGCATATGCACCACGTTGATTTGAGTGATAAAAACTACCTCTCTGACAGTTTTTAATTTTTTGGTAAAATATCAATCAGATTAATTCGCTTTTCTTTGCCTCCGTTTTCGTGACTATTAGAAGTGTGGAATCGTTGGATTATCCTTGTGTGAATTTTCCCGTTGTGAGTTTTGTAGTCGATTGGAAATTGTTGTTTTTGCTGGATTGTGATGAATTATGCACCACTTTGACAAAAATGATAACAACTACTGAAATAAGTCTGATATTTTCATTTTTTTAATTTCAATTTAGTTTTGCTGCGTATAATTTTTGAGCTATTGATTTTTATCAATGTCCAGGTTGTGTTCCGAACTTTTAAGTTGGCTGTTGTGGCTAAAGTACGAGGTATTTTTTTCTGATTGTTGGTAACTGTGATGAGCATATGCACCACGTTGATTTGAGTGATAAAAACTACCTCTCTGACTGTTTTTAGTTTTTTTGATAAAAAGTCAATCAGAATAATTCGCTTTTCTCCGCCTCCGTTTTCGTGATTGATATTCTTACAAAAAGCTTTAAAAAAGTCAGCCACACCAGCTAACTTGAAAGTTTGGACCACAAATAGGACAGTGATATAAATCAATAACTCATCAGATTCAATTCGGTAGTTGTTATCATTTTCGTCAAAGCGGTGCTTATTCATCACAATCAAGCAAAAGCAACAATTTTTGATGGACAACAAAACTCACAACAGAAAAAATCAAACTCCAAGTTTTCAAGTACACACATGGACAATCCAACGATTCCACGCTTCTAATGGTCCACGAAAACCGAGGCAAGGAAAAGCGAATTATTCTGATTGATATTTTACCGAAAAACTGAAAACAGTCAGAAAGGTAGTTTTTATCACTCAAATCAACGTGGTGCTCATCACAGTTACTAACAATCAGAAAAAAAATACCTCGTACTTTAGCCATAACAGCGAACTTAATAGTTTGGAACACAAACTGGACAGTGATAAAATTCAATAACTCTGAAATCATTCGAAATGAGCAGCAAAATTAAATTGAAATTAAAAAATGAAAATCATCAGATTCATTTCGGTAGTTGTGATCTTTTTTGTCAAAGTGGTGCATAATTCATCACAATCAAGCAAAACCAACAATTTCCAATCGACTACATAACTCACAACAGAGAAATTCACACATGGATAATACAACGATGCCACGCTTCTAATAGTCAAAAGAACGGAGGCAAAAAAGCAAATTAATCTCATTCGTATTTTAACAAAAAGCTTAAAAGAGTCATATAGCTATTTTATCACTCAAATCATTGTGGTGCATCTTCTCATCGCAGAAACTAACAATCAGAACAGATATCTTACTTTAGCCATACCACCCCACTTGAATCTTTCGAACACAAACTGGACAGTGATAAAAATCAATAACTCTGAAATCATACGAAATGAGCAGCAAAATTAAATTGAAATTTAAAAAATGAAAATCATCAGATTCTTTTCGGTAGTTGTTACCATTCTTGTCAAAGTGGTGCATAATTCATCACAATCCAGCAAAAGCAACAATTTCCAATCGACTACAAAACTCACAACAAGAAAATTCACACAAGGATAATCCAACGATTCCACGCTTCTAATGGTCACGGAGGCAAAGAAAAGCGAATTAATCTGATTGATATTTTACCAAAAACTTAAAAACTGTTAGAGAGGTAGTTTTTATCACTCAAATCAACGTGGTGCATATGCTCATCACAGTTACCAACAATCAGAAAAAAAAACACCTCGTACTTTAGCCATAACAGCGAACTTAATAGTTTGGAACACAAACTGGACAGTGATAAAATTCAATAACTCTGAAATC